TTACAATCGCCCAAACAAATTTTTGCCGAACAAAAAAAAATACATTGAGTTACACGTCTCGCTGGGTTGTCTCTAATCATACGAAAAAACATCCTATGAATTCATTATTTTAGAAAGATTATGATAACAGGCGGTAAGATCGTAGTGTTGAATGATGAAGAAATTATAAAATTTGATAAAAATGTCAGGTCTGTTCTGGTTCTCAAAATGAAAACTGTGTTGAAACTGCGCCGGACCGTGTCCGTAAAGGCAAAAAATCCCCGACTGTTTGAAATTGTTGGAAAACCAGAACACATAAATGTTTTTTGTTTATTATAATAATGCAGTTCATTTTGAAAGTTCAGCTTCAAATAACATTTCCATGTATATGTTCATCATTATCATCCTCATCGCATTTCAATGGAATAAAAAAACGGCAGAATATTAAAAAATTAATAATTTTAAAATTGTCTCTACAAATAAAACAAGACATTCGTCAACACATAAACATAATTTCTGTATGGTGTTAAATGCTAATACAATATTCATAACATTTCAAAAACGCATGCGCGGTCTAAATAGTCCGAGTCGATCCACACTCCGAAGCATGAACACATTTTGACTGTTTACAAGAATCACGGATTATTTCGGATACGAAACCAGAACACTGGACTGAGAAATCCGAAGTAGTCCAAGAAATACCAGAACACTTTTTAACTACTGCGCATGAGCCCGACAGTTGTGGATCGTTATTTTTCAAAACCAGAACATTATTGGGATTCTCATCTTACGTGTTGAGTACACACATAAAAATCCCTGTCCAGAGCTATCGATTGTTTTTAAACGGATGATACGGGACACTTCACCTGAAAACCAAAATTCGCGTTCTTTTTACAACTTAGCTTAGATCAGAATCTAACTTTTAGTTAGTCAAGTATACCTGTGAAAAAAAACGACTAGTGGGACCACATACTTTGATTACTATACGGTACAAGAGAGACGTCCGACAAGCCCAACATAGGGAGCGGCCATTTTGATGCAATTACTACTAGGTTAGGCAACACATTTTTTCAAAATGTTAAACTCGTAGCATACATCTTGGTATTTTGAGATTTTAAATGAAGGCAACAAATAATGTAGAAGAAACGATTATTTATTTTAAATAATATACAGGAAAATTCTTTGAAGTAAAGTTATAATTGCGAGTGCATCTTGAAATAGAGGTGAGTGGTTTTAAATTATTTCTAAAGTTGTGCATATGATTTTACATTATTATGATATTTTTCGCCAGTCCCATGCCCATAAACAAACATTTTATGTTTGTAATGTAATAAAAATCTTTGAGGCTAAACAATCTTAATATTATATTTTGCATTTTTTCAACTGTAAATATGGTACGAAACTATAAAATAAAAACAAAGGAATGTGATATTAAAGAAGCTCTGACTAAAAGATATTAGGTCTTTTCCTTTGCATCGACAGTGTAGCACTGAGCTACGTCCCTTCTGAAAATATTGTTCCATCCATACAATTTGTATAAATGGAACGATATTTTCAGAAGTGGTGTAGCTCAGTGCTACACTTTCAATGCAAAGGAAAAGACCTTTTATCACAGGAATATACTCTTGCAGACAAGCTGCAAAAGATAGTTGGTTTGTTTTTATCTTATAATTTATCTGAGACAGACACGTTGAATTTGTATAAGTTATTTTTTTTTTAATTAGTTATATGTAGTGTTAAATTTTTAACTAAAACAGATATATTGTTCATCTACAAATGAGTCTTTTTTCAGTTGTTACACAGTAAGAAATTGCTGAATATTTTATTTTCAAGAAAATACCCCTATGGGTATTACTGCCACCACCTCCACCAATATTCTCTTTTTCAAAGATTACACAATTTTGTTAATTGTATTAACATTAGATTGCCAGTGTACATTTTAAAAACTCTTGCATATCTCCCTACTTTCTGCTTCTATAGCAATCGATGGTCTAGCTATGCTTGTCTTAGTCCGTCGACTTAATATTGTAAAAAGGATGTCGACATATGGTGGCTTTAAAAGACGTTTTTGTTGCTTCTATGATTCCTGTGTATATCTAACGCACAAAATCAATATACCTGGATCAGTGGTACTTTTGCTTCTCAGAAATTTCCATTAAAGGTCAATGCCCACTACACCGGATCATACTATGACCGTGACCGTACCGGCATAGGCAGAAAAATATTCTTTGTATAGATTTAAATGAGACAATGCCCACTAGACCGGCCCGACATCGACCAACACCATTCTCATTTGAATCTATACAAAAAAAATCAGGTCCGGGCACGGTCATAGTATGGTACGGTATAGTGGGCATAGACCTTTATTCGAAACTGTTATACAGTTTACTGTACCAAATAAAAAAAATAAATAATACAGGTAATTTTCTAACTGTTCCAGATAAACTATCTAACGGCGATTTTCTTAGTGAGGCCTGTGGGCCACCTCTACTTTCAGGTGAGCCAGAGGTAGTAAACCTGAAATGAATAAAAACAATTATTATAATATAAATGTTCCAAAAAGTAAACAATATTACTTACATGTTTATTTATATTATTTCGTTTGATTTTAATACTGCTCCTATCTATTGAAGTAAATGCTTCAATTTTTTTATTATTTGCCTTCTACAAAGAATTGTTTCATGATTGATCACATACCTTCTTACATAAGAGCAATAAGCATTTTCCTCAAAATGCTGAGAACAGACATAGGTAACAGAGTTTAGCTAAAAATAATTTCGAAACAATTTAATTAATGGTTTGTAAACACAGTTCAAGTTAAGTGCTCGAAATTCCTAGTAGAGCTTAAAAATAAAAAGCATTTAGAATACAACAATAGGAACATAATTCAAGTAGTTACTGTTACTTACAAATGAAAAGATTTAACATAAAATCACCAGATAAAGCAAGGTTTTCAAGATATTCATTTTGTTAATGGTTCTGTAAAGTGTAGGTTCGTAAATAATATCTTTGGGAACTGACTTTGGGTAAATATAACATAACCACTAAAACTATTGCGCCAAGATGTGGGCAACACGTTATAAGTGTTCAAAATGGCGGAGTTTTCTATCTCCTTTTAAAACGCACTCAGAAAGCCGCGCAGTGCGACCATTTTCGGTATAGTAAGAGAAAATCGAAGTTTGTGAGTGAGACGCATAATTTCTAATAACGAACTTTGTCAAACTAACGTAGTCTTCGGAATATCTAGAAATTAAAAACAGTTAATGGATCCTCACTATGAAGTAGTCAATGAGCAGATAAATCTGAGAAATACTCCACTTCTGAACTATCATCTTAATTTTATGTTCAGAGTTTTCTTCTAAGAAATCCATTGACTACTAGTTAGGTACACGATGAAGTATAAATGTTATATGTACGAAATGCTGCATATTCATATAAGAAATAGTCCTTTCATGATATTTGTGTTCAAATATTTAACATAAATCGAGTAGCTATCAAGCGTTATTGTCATTTTCACGAAACAATTGTTAATATTTTTTACAATTTACAGCTTACCTGTTCCTCTCTTAATTTTTCAAGGATTTCTCAATAACAATATGATTTGAATACAGGTGATAAAATATTCGTTATTTTTGAATCTGTCTGTGTTTTTATATTGATATAATGCAAAGGCATACAAGCCATTTTGTCAAGTATTTAACGAATAAATCGCCACCAATACTTGAACTTAGAACTAAAGATAATCTTTAACAGTCTGTAATTTGTCACTTCAGACCCAAAGTTTTATAGCTTATTGCAATATCGGTATAACCAGGGCATTTTAAATATGCTTTTCTGATACCTTGTTAAGGACCACCCTCTATGTTAGTTTTTTTTTGTGAAAAAACACTACAAAAGGGGCGTTTATTAATATTACAATCTGATCAAGAGTTGATCAATGAGTAATTTTGTTATAACCTAACTTAACTATAGTTGCAATCTTAAAAATTTAAAGTTCTACTCGCTAATATACCTTAGGGTCTGATAATTACACTAAACTAACGTGTAACACTAAACCGCACAATGCTTTGCTTTGTTATTAACACAATCCCTTGGCTAACTCAAAAGGTTTCACTCCCTTCAGTCTTCTTGTCAGGTTCGTGTTGTCAAGAAGTTGGATCGCCTCAACGTTCCCATGTTAGTGGAGCCGTTGTTCGTGACTCCTAGCGAATCTGGTGATAAGTCTGATCAACAGTGTCCATCTGAAGGTCTCGATGAAGGTCGCTGTTTCTAATGTACCAAGAAGCATCGACAATGTTCCTCAATACTTTGTTCTGGAATCTCTGGATTATTAGAATATTACTGTAGCTGAATGCCATAGGTCCAAATTGTTTTGAGAACTTGTTTATGTAATAGAATTTTGTTATATGTAGATAGGTTTGAATGCCTACCAAGTAACCAGTACATTTTCTTGAATGTTATACTGTATATTAGGAATGATAAAATATAGAGCTTAAGACTGCCTGCATGTCAGCAAGTTTTGATTTTTTATATCTAGTATATCTACTATGATAATATAATTATTCCGAACTTTTTAACAAAAATTGGTAGATTTTAATAATAAATTCTCAGTAGTGGCGAATATGCCAACAACCTAATAGGAGATATAGACATGCTTACACTTGATTTGTATATTATTACAAGGAACATCTAGTAACAATATATTCATCTAAAACGCTATGATTAAATATTTTCCAAATAATTGAACATCCATCTATTGTTGACTTTTATAATACACTAGTTGTTGCCTGCGGCTTCGCACGCGTGGAGTCGTGTTTTTAATATAAAAAAATTCATGACTTCACAAAAAAAGGAGGGATAATATGTTTTTTAGGGTTCATATTATGTGATAGTATTCTAGATTAGTGTAATAGCCAGCCTAAAATGGCATCTAGTGGACTGTAGTTCAATTGTTAAGCCGCTATTACATTTGTCTTCGATGGCTGCACTGGGAGAGCATCCTGAAATATTTGCTACTTGGGAAAAATAATGCACTAGAGATAATTAAACATACTATATTAATTATCAAAAGGGTCAGTAAGTATTTTGTTGACAAGTGGCAACACTGCCAAAAAAATGCCGGTATTGAAAGCAAGCGATTTATGTTATATTTCACAATTCAATAAAGAGATAAAAAGGAGAAACAAAAAGGGACCTGTTGCAGGTCCTGCACCTGTGGGTAGGCTTCCTGCTTACAAACTAGCACTTACACCGCGGGTTCAATTTTTTACAATGGTTTGCCGGCATATGCGCACTAAGGCGGAAAACCCACCACTCACTGGAAGTAGAGAATTCACGTAGTGTTTTTTAATGTCGCGGGCCGATAATCCAGGGTCGAGTACGTTAAGGGGTGTTGCAAAGGCACTACTTTTCGCGAATACAATGAACGCAGATTTTTTCTGCTTGAGCATGAGAGGCGCGCTTCATCACAGTTAGAGCGTTAGAAACACACTGCTGGTTGAGTGTTAGAAACATACTGTCTTAAAGCGTTAAAGCCTTTCGTTTGGCCAATAAGGGAGCTTGATTATGGAGGGATTATCTAATTATTATTATTTATGTGAGTTGTTTATTATTTTAACTATTAGAATTATTTATTAGGGCTTGTGAATTTTTATTATTTATTTTTAGGCGTTGGTTTTTTATTATTATTTATGAAATAAAAGTTTATGACATTTTCAGCCTTCGGCTGTTTCCGTTGTATATATTTCTTGTGACTGTCAAACGTTCTGTTTGACTTGGCGGTTCGAATTCAAATTCAAACAATTAGACTTAAGTAGAGTAATCTAATATTTAAGTATAGTAATCTAATTGAGAATCTCATTTCATACCACATTTCTGGTACGGCTCTCATCTGCTAATATCACCAGATTGCATGCGGAACTGACTCTCTAACAGGTCACATAAAACTATACTTGAGAAATCCAGTCCTCCGTTGGGCTGTCGGAGTGTCAGGACATCGAGAAATATGGTTTTTATAAAATGATTCCTCTTGTTTCTAATTATTTATATTATATTTATTTTTATTTGTTTTTATTTATTTTTACTTATTTATTTTTCTTCCTTTTTGCCATTTTCTCAATTTTTTCTCCACTTTTCAATATATTCAGGAAATAGTTTAATACCATTGGAATATTATAAAAGAAAATTCGCATAGATTCATTGTCTTGTATGTATAAAAATTCTCCTATGCTAATACATTTTCTAATGCCGCCTTAAATGGATTAATAAAGAATTAAATTGCATATACATTTTAACATACCGGGTGTTTGTTTTACGGAGAATAAACGACATGAAAGTAGTTGTTACCGATTTCATTTTTCAATTTACAATATAAAGACAGGATTTTCTTGTCATTCTATCGAATACCTCATCTATCACCCCAGGGGATACAATAAATATACTTTGCTAAAGTGAAAAACTTTTAAAAAGGTATTAATATTTTATTCATCATGAAAATAGCTACAGTCTTCGATCTTATTAAAACATCCATCAGGATGGTTCTTTAGAAACCAACAAGGCTTGTTTCTATATTTTCCCTCGGTTACCTCGCAAGTATTAGGTTGCCGTATACTAACACAACCTTTTTTTACCTCAAAAATATACCTAAAATTCCTAAACAAAGTTTGAAGTCCCCCGCATTGGTTACTTAACTGTTTCAAATCATCGCGTGGGATTTTTTTTATTATTTCTGAAATTTGTACAACTGATCCTTTATTCCAAACTTGACCATCGAGCTTTTTTATAAACTGTTCCTTTTCTAATAAAAAGTTAACGCACATGCTAACTAATTTATCTGTTATTTTCCTGTTAAGTTGTGTACAATTTCGTACAGCTTCTACAGTAGATCTAGCTTTAAATTCAGTGCCCATTTTACTCGCTATAAAATATTGTATATCTTTAAGTGCAAACTGTAACTCTTCTTTAGAAGAAGTTCTTATGCCTACGATACAAACTTTTTTTGTCGACGGTATTCTCAGTTTATCTAACTCAGTTTTAAAATGGCATTTATTACAAATAAATTTTATATAATTCAAATAATCTGAGTAAGTACTAACTGAACTATCCTTTCGAATGTATTTTTCGCCATTAAAATCATAAGGGCAACAAGGAAGTACAAAAAAATTCGTTTTCGGAGAACTTTTTGCAGCCATTACTGGAATCCAAGGTGTTAATTCATCAGAATGATTACCAATGAGCCATGTGGAATTATGAAATGTTGAGTCTGGAGTTACTGTGCCAACCTAAAAAATACATACAAATATGAGTAGAGTTTCAACAGAATGAACAAACCAAGGCAACACCGCATCGAATAAAAGCACCAAGTTTACGCGTTGAGAAGTTAAGTAAAATACTTAAATACTCGTGTTCCATATTTAGCCTATAGAAACAGATTTTTAAGATTTAACTATTTTTTTAACGCAAAAGTCATCATTATCAAGATTAATTATTTTCGTTTAAAACTTTGACACTAGATCCTCAAAACATTCGATAATGTCGGCCTTTTCAAACATATCACTTAATTTATTAGAACGTTGAATGTGTTCCTTTTTTCTTTCAGTACGTGATTTTCTGCGAGTAAGTACGTTTTGACAAATATTTAGGCAGATTTGGGAAAACACAGTGGCATGCATTTTGAATTAAGCTTAGCTTATACGGAAATTTTTATTAAATTTTCCATCAGGTTGTAAATAATTATCATCCCGCATAATTCCACTATCAAGAAAGTGTTTACAACAAAATACTACTGTTTTTGAAGGAATAAAGATAATCCTAGGAATTGCATTTAACCATTTGTCTAAATTATCGTCTTTTACAAATTCAAAAACGGATATTAGCTTTCCATCCTGTTCTTAGTTTAAAACACTATTATAATTGGACTTACAGCCATGCTAGGCATAATTATTAAAGTTATTATCGGCCTTGTAACGGGTCAACAACGGGACGCCAGACACTTTTTAACACTTATTTTAACTAAATGATTAAAAACCGGATTAATAGGTTGATTACGTTCTCAACATATGTAGTCCATGGAACTGTGCATTACCGGTTCCCCGGGACCGGTGGCTTGACGCGAATATGGTGCGGTACCGGTCGTCGGGGACCGGTAATGACGTAATTAGTTTTTCTATTTTTATAGTTGCATGATATACATTATAAAAGGTTTTATTTAGAGATCACCTATTAAAAGTAAAAACATGTAAGAACTTACTGTTATCTTACGTTTTGTGATTGTTTCTTGTTAAATATTTTTTAAAATGTCTGATAGATAAAAGATAGATAAAATTTCCAAATGCTAAAATTTAATAAACGACTTTTGGAAATAAAAAAATGTGTAAATATATCTTAGTTATTTAGCAAGAAATAATCAACATCCAGAAATACAGACTATTTTTTATGAATGCTATTAAAGCAAGATAAACACATTCCTGGTTGTCTAGGACATTCATTGCAATAACTCGTTTCTTTTGTAACCAAGTTACTTGCATTTTTGCTTGAATGTGTTTCTCTTAATTTATGATAGCATCCTTGGCACTGTCTTCTCCTTTTCTTTCCTGGCCCGAACGGTTTAACAAAGGTGTGTAGAACTCTTTTGAGAGTAGTGGTTTCTTCACGTGCTACTTCGCCAATCTTCTTCTAAACTCAATTATAGACAATTTTGCGAAACTAACCTTCTTATAGACAATCCAGGATCTACAATAGCTGTTCCAAACAAAAATTCAAACGCCAGTATACGGTACCATTTCAAACTTTTTCTTAATATGGAATGATAAGAAATCATCTGATCGTTAAAATCTACCCCCTTTTTGCTTTGTTGTAATTAATAATTGCTTTTGGTTTAAGTATATGCTCATGTTGCCGGTTTCGCTTTCCTGTTTCAAAATAGTTGTATGGGTTGGACCAGTACTTAACATTAGAACTGGCCGTTTGTCCATCTATTTTATAATACGTGAGGAGTTGTTCTGAGTACCTTTTCTGTTTGACCTCAGGCTTTCGCAATAAATTATTTCTTTTTCTAACAGTGATTTGGCTAAAAGTAAACTAGAGTAATAATTGTCAGCATACAAGTAGCAGTAGTAGTCTTTTTTGAACTCAACACTTTCAAGAAGATCATACACTATCTGCTCACTCTTTGCATTATGTGGTTAGTATATCCATCCACCGTACACAACTTATATAACTTAATTCCGTATGCGTGTGTTTTATTGGGGAGATACTGTTTTATTTGCAGTCTTCCTTTATAAGGTACTATACTCAGCTTGAAAATTCTTAATACTTTCAAAATTTCACCTAACTTCTCATTATTACAAAAATGAATGTAGCGCATCAATAAAAGGAATCTGTCTCGTCTCATGGTATTCGCAAAAAACTCATTCATGAACATGGAATCCTTTGACCTATACAGATTTATTGCAGGACCATCAACTAATCTCATAACTATACATATTAAGAAAAACGCTAAGTTCGGCTATATCGCAGTCAACCCAAGAACGTATACGTGATTTTGACCGATTTTCATTTAGTAACATTTGCCGAGCAAATCTATTTGTTTCCTCAACAACATTATGTAAAAGATCATCTGTTACAAATAACTTGTAAGCATCTACAGTGTGGTGTATTATTCTTACAACGTGGCAAAGCTGTAAAATCAAGTCTTGCTAGAGCCCTCGACACATCCACTTCGCGGTCATATTACTTATTGTAATAATTAATATTAACAAAGCTCTCAGTTGTGTTTATAGTGCCTTGTTATTCATATAATCTCATACATTACATATAGGTTTTTTATTTCGTTCACATTAAAATTTAACATAGGCGAATCTTGCCATTTTTTCAACTTGTCAGCCTCATTATCACTCTCATCTATATCATGCCACTCGTTTTCTTCATCATTTTCAGATATATTCGCATTTTCATTTTCTGTCTCATTATTATCATCAAACACATCACTCGTACTTACTTCGATGTATGATTCATCTGATGAAGGTAAATAATTTTTGTCGATAAAAGAATCGTTCGAATCAAAAACATCATCCAGTTCATCATCACGATCAATTTCACTGTCACTATTTGGCAACTCTGCAAGCACATAGTCTCCTGGCTCAGTTAGACTTTGGCGCGCATTTACAACACTTGAGTTGCTCATTTTCATCTGAAGTACACGGTTCGTCACCCTCTACATTTGTTTATGCATTGTTTGTACTGGCTTTTTTAGCTAGAAACAAAATTTTCTTAGCGCGAGATTACATTTTTAGCGTAGCAAATCACAGACGCAAACAGTCGTGCTATTGAAATACAACTGAGACTAAACGCCGATTGTCCGCGCAGGCAAGCACGTATAAATATGCGCTGGTCGTACAGGACCGGTCCCGCACCAGAGTAACAAATTGTAATGTCTGTGCTTTACCGGTCCCCAAAGCCCGGTGTAATTTTTCCATTTTTAAATGTGTTCAGTCTTAAGACAAGTAAAATGCTATCTTTATCAGTTAAAACAAACGATAATTAACGAAAATATGTATTTCGCAAATCAAAGACATTTGCAGTTTTCACCTACCGCACTACATTAATAACCAACACCGGTCCAATTATTATTATTATTAATTATTATTATTATAATATTCTTTTAAATGGAATAACATGAATTTCTTGAAGATTCATTAAGTAATTGATTTGATTTCCGTCCCTTCACCTTTCCTGTTAGGGTTTCTAAGTATTTCTTTTGTACATTCCGTTATAAAATTCCCTAAATTAGAGTATCGACTGAGTTGTTATTGAAGACAGTGACTACTCCCGCAGTAGAATAAGATAATTTGGTAAACAATTTAGATGATATGTTCCATATTTGCTATTAAACAGAAGTGAAGCTTAGCTACCTTCGCTGCCGTTTAGTACAAGTCTGTATTCCTCTCGTAAATTTCTTTAGCTCCGCGATTAACGATCTTTTGGTTTATTTAATTCTAATCCCTGTCCCCACCGTTAGTTAGACTCTTAGTGAATTCCCGACCAATTGACTGGACTCCCAAAGTCTAGTTTATACGAGGTTACATAGCCTGGAGCGCCATCCTCAGGGGTTGCGTCGCCAGGCTATTAATCTTGTGGTCCGTTAGGCTGTAGCTAGATTTGCAACTTCTTTGTTGCACATTACTTTCGCTCCTGTCCACTTTCCGCCGTGTCTCTATATTTCCCGCTTTAGGAATAACCGAATAGTCAAAAGCTCTAAGACGCTTAGAGGAGAAATTCGTAAGATTCCGAAAGTTCGCCCTGCCGAAGACCGTAGACTTGCTACAACGCCGCGTAGTATTTCTGGTTTGACCGCGGTTTTCCAGACACCGTTTTATTCATAAACCCCTCATTTGTCTGATTGAGTTTTTATTTTATTTTGCCCATTAATTTCCGTTACGATTTTTTTTTATTTTGTTTAGAGTTAGATCCAATAACTTGTAAATACAATTATTTAGCTTCACCGACTATCAACCGAAACGTTTGTAGATATTGAATAATATATGTGTCAAAGTGAAACCTGGTATTTCATTCCTTTGTCGTAAATCTCTTTTCAGGTACTATATAACTACTATATTGGTGACCCTCTGAAATTTTCTTTCTTCACTGCAGTTACCTACAGCCCTTCTTGGAACTTGTTCCAACAGGTAAAGTGAATAAAACCACTCTAAAACAAACTGGCGCCCCAGCACACCCAGTTCGAACGTCACAAGTGAGAGTATTTCTAACCAGTTGAAAAAACCTCTCGCAGTACATCATGATACAGTGTTCTTTGTTACCAAATAGAACAGGTAATGCGATCCATCTTGAAGTTTCAAGGGGCGGGTAACTGACCTTGAAGTTCTGGCAAACGACCCAACTTCTTTCGTAACACGAATGTCAGACCTCGTGAGCCCTTGATGCTGGCGGAAGTACTATGGACCAGCGAGTAGTCTTTAGGAACAGTTAGCAGCTCTTGTTGTTGCTCGGTTGTAACACCATATCTTGCTTTCTCGGTACCTCCATATGCACTCATAAATTCTTCAAAGGCAGGTCAGGTTTTTCTTGGAGCTGCTTTACTTCCTCTTCCTCGTCATGGCCCAAAATTTCATGGAAAAGCTGACTTTCAAAATTTCTGTCTTGGTCACTGTGGATCTCCAAGAGCACATCTACTGTTAAATTATTTTATCAACACGTCAGCAACAGTTGCGGTCCCTTGATTTGGAATGGCGAGACTTCCACCCACTTCGTGAAATAATCCATAACCACCGTCATGTATTTATTACTATCATCGGTCATGGGGAATGGTCCAACCATATCTAAGGCAATCCTTTCAAATGGGCTACCGCTACCGACGTTCTACTGCTTCATGGGGGCCTTCCTTTTTCGTTGGGGTTCACTATTCATAGCACATTTATTACACTAGTCCTTTATATCATCGGAACTGTTCATCCAATAAAACCTTTCACGAACTCTCTGAAGGGTTTTATTAACACCGAGATGTCCTCCTGATGGACTGTCGTGTAACTGACGAAGTACTTTGGCTATTCTAGTCATTGGAATCCCCTTTCTTTTTGTGGCTCAATGTTCGATCACTCTTGAACTCGTTCGATTCATCTGGCAATTTGACCATCCGGATTTTTGAACTGCATCAGCCACTTAAGCGCTATATGATCTGTACGGATTAACAATGTCCTTCCACATAGGTACTGGTGTTCCACGCATTTCAAAACTCTTTTCTCATGACGCAATAATTTCGATCAGGTTTCGAGAGCACTTTACCAAAATAACCCAGTGCTCTTTCTTACCCCGCTGAATCTGTGAAAGCACTCCTCCAATTCCAACATTACTGGCACCTGTATCCAAAATAAATTATCCCTCTGGTAGCCTAGTCTTGCCGCTGTTGTTAAATGCTTCTTTAATGTTTCAAAGGCAGTTCGTCCCAGCAGAATTCTCTCACTTCTTCTGTGAATCGTGTTAATGGCTTAGCAATATCTACGAGATTCCAGATAAATCTTCGATAGTACGTACAGAGCCCAAGAAAACTTCTTATTTGATGTTTATCAGATAATTGTGGCCATTGTTTGATCGAATTTACTTTTTCCTTATCTACTGCCACGACTCCTTGCTTACTATATGACTCAGGTAATTAGCTTTATTTAGAAATAACTAACATTTCTTTGGGTTTAGCATCAGTTGGGCACCTTAAAGTATTTTAAAAACTCACTAAATTTTCCATAAGTCTTTTAAATGTCGCGGGGGCATTAATAGTCCAAAAGGCATGATACAGAAATGTCAAAATCCAGATCCGATGGTAAAAGCTGTCTTTTCTTTGTCTACTGGGTCAATTTTCACCTGCAAATATCCAGATTTCAAGTCTAAGGTAGAAAATAGTTTACTTCGGGTCAATGTGTCCAAGGTATCGTCGATTCGAGGCAGAGAATAACTGTCTTTCTTGGTAACATTGTTTAACTGATGGTAATCCACACCGAACCACGTAGTTCCATCCTTTTTCTGGACCAGGCCTACCGGAGAGACCCATGGGCTGGTAGAAGGTTCTATCACCCTGTCTTCCTCTATTTCACAAACAATCCTTTCAGCTTCCTCTCTCTTGGCATTTGTCAATCTTCGAGCTGATTGATGGATCGGCCTGGCTTCACCAGTGTCAATTTTATGTTTTTCAATAGAAGTTCTTTCTGTCTTTCCTCCTTTTAGTACAAAAATGTCACGATATCGTCGAAGAAATTCATTTCTCTAATTGATTTTCTCGAATTTGTGGCTGGAATTATCAGAAGTTGTTGTCTGACAAATTGTGGTTCCGATTCTGGTCTCTTTCTTGATGGTAATTGTGTGATAATTAACGTTTATAAGACGTACTGGAATTTATTTAGCAGTCGTGACCAACCCCTTTCGATCAGAATTCCATGCCCAACCTCTTCATCGTGGTTCCAAAGTTCCATCATAACAGTTCTTTCTTCCATAGTTTCTTGAAGCCGTGCTACTAAAATGGTTTCACTTCTGCCAGGTAACACACTATTCTCTTGTACAGCAACTGGCACGGTATTGTCCCCATATGGATGTAGGAATACCTCTTCGGCACTAACTTTGATCACTATGTTCTTAAAATCCATGTAGCCATGTAAATTCATTACATCCATTCCTAGTACAACATATTCTTCGATATTAGTCACAATAACAGTATAAATGAACTTTTGTGTAACAATTTCTAATTGGACGTAGGCACTTTCACAGCAGTTCACAGTCGCAACCTTGATGTATACCATTTACTTTGCTGTCTACGTATACACTAACATCGCGACATTTCAAAGATGCTATCAGTACGAGAGAGTCTTTGGAACGGTTACGGGTCGAAGCTGTCCCCTCTAGGCCCACCCACTCTAGTTTTTCTGCGGCGTGTTGTCTTCATTTGTTGCGTTTGCACGAACTGCGTAATGTCCCAGTTCACCGCAATTCGAACACCTGATTGTCTTTGTCTTCTTTTCAGTAAAACTCTTCATTATGTTGGTTGGTCGAGTTTTTCTTCAACATTTTCTTTTTTTACAGTCCTCACTTTACTGTATCCTCCAAAAGCCTGCGTAGCTGCCTAATATTCTAAAGCAGCGGACAAGACATCGACCAATGTTTTGTGACGGATTAAGCGGAGTTTGGACTGCCAAACATTTGTTTTCTGGAGCTGATGGATAGGCAAATCGCACTAACCTGGCAACATCTACTTCATATTCTAGAAGGGACTCGTCTCACTTCTGTTTGCGAATCTTTAACTGTGACAGGTATAAATGCTCCAAGTGTTCGTGGCCGCATCGCATGTTTAGTCTCTTTTTAAGTCATTCAAAATCATCTGTCTCTTCAACTGGACATCTAAAGCGTCTCCTCAAAGGGTAATAGTCAAATTTACTGCTTTTTCTCTGTCAGACCATTCGCTCGCTCTGTCAGCTGTTTCGAACTGTTTAAAGTAATTGGTCCTTGGACTATTTTGTATGGTCCATTTCTTCTATCTTCTTTTCCGTTTTATTTTCTCCTCAACTTTAGTTTCTAATGAAGAAATATCAAAAGAAACTTTATTTTCTAAGGAGGAAATAACAGAAGAAACTTTAATTTCCAATGAGGAAATGTCGGAAGAAACTTTAATTTCTAAGAAGGAAATATTTTTTATAGAGGAAACATCAGCAGAAATGTCATTTTCTTCGGAAGACATTTTAGTTTCCAAATCTAGTAGATTCTCGGCGGTCTAGAAGCTCCTCGAAATTATTCATCCACGCGTTGGACTGCGAGATAAAACATTTGAGTCGATTTCTCGAGTCTCGAGGCGGGTCTCGATCTCGCCAGTGGGCCAGACACCATGGCGCGTAAAGAACAGAGTCGGCTTTAGGCGATTGCACGATATTATTAACATTATCATTATTATTATATATTTTAAAAGTTTATTCAAAAAATGAATTTTGAAAAGTCTTAAACTTACAATTTGTGACAAAATCGATAACAAAAAATGTTTTATTAAGATTAACCATTATTAGATAATATCCATTTCATGAAATATTAATAGGTAGATGTTCTTAAATAAAAATAAAAAATGGTTATCCAACAAACCTCTAATCTAGTTTCTGCAGGGTAAATGTTCCAAACTGCTCTTTTTCTAATATCAATTCCATATCCTTGAAACCCCTCTTGGTTGAGAATATAAACTAGTAACCCATTTCCACATCCACAGTCTACAAAATTGATTTCCTGCTTTGGGATTTTTTTCCAAAGACATATTAAGTAACTTGCTATAGCTAAATCTTCAAAGATGTATTTTTGAGGATCTGTATTTGTTATTTCTAGCCAATCCTATAAGAAATAAAATAATTAACTGTATGTATAAGATAATAGTTATTTATATTCCAAGCAGTGGCAGGTCGTTTACTAGTCTACGGCTACTTTTGAAAGGCGCTTAAGACATAACATTTATCAAAACTTACCAAAGCATTTTAAGTGAACCGACGGATAGTTTTCCTCTAAATTAACACTTTTTAATTATCCTAAACTAAGTACCTACTTGTGTTCTACCTCTTCTTTCATTTTCGTTAAAATTGTCGATGTTATGTATAAGTAATAGTTTCGTCACATTTATTAAAACACTTGTCTAATTCGTTAAAACACATGTCGGCTAATTTTTGTTATACCTTGCATTGCTTGCCATGAAAATAATCTTGTATATAAAACTTTTGAACCTTTGTCTGTCCGCGTAACTTTTAAATCAGGAGTAGGCCTTCCCAAAGATTTAATATATTTTTCAGCCAGCGAAAGTCTAGCAAAATTAGTTTTTAAAATATTTTGTACCGTTGTACGGCTGCAGGCAGAGTGTTTCTTTATGTACTCTACTGTCGGGAAAATACATATTGCTTTCTGGAAACCCCCTAATTCAAGTAAGCTACACAAAGATCGCCGTGTGTTTAGACAATTCTAAGTACAAAAGTGCTTTAATAGTAGTATAACACTGCAGTAAATGAAAGTTTTTATACAAAAAAATATATTTATTTGATTTTAAATAATTTCATATATTCACAGTATCGTAAGATATACGTTCATTTTATAGAACACTGAATTATCAGAAAATTAACCGATTTATACGCAAAATTATCCGAAAATCGGATAATTATCCAGATATTGGCAACACTGCTAAGATAATAAACAGGCTAAAGCTGGGATTTAACTACGAGCGATGTTATAAGATATTGTGACGCGACAGCCGCCTTTGTTCCTTGTTTACTTCTTGCCCGCAGTATGAAGTCTAGCGCTGGCCATATACAGACAAACGCACCGCTTCGAGAAACTATCGGAGTGATCCCTTTGCGTCGTATGAGTCATAGAGAGGCAGTTCTTGATCATTGTGACAAGCCGAGAGTATTCTAGTAAAGAGCTGACTTTATATAAATAGCGCGAGTTTGTCGACTGACGGGGAGATTGAATTTAAGTGTTGGACAGAAAAGTTAAATTGTAATAAGTATTACATAAATTAATTAGTACGTTATAAATAAATTGTAAATAGTGATTTAAATAAACTTTAAATAAATTAAACAAACGTTACATTGGTGTTAGAAATGAAATTATAAATAAATAGTGGACAAACATGGCTAAAAAAAAACTATGTGATTTAAAAGTGTCTGAGTTGTGTATAGAATTTGAGGAACGTAAACTGGAGAAGACAGGAAAGAAATCAGAGCTGACAGAAAGACTTAAAAAATGATATTTCCTCATTAGAAACTAGTTTCTTCAGATATTACCTCTTCAGAAAGTAAAGTTTCTTCAGACATTTCTTCCTTAGCTAGTAAAGTTTCTTCCTTAGAAGAAAAGGTGTCTTCTGACATATCCTCTTTTAAAATCGAAATTTTTTATGACTTGGAAAACAAAATGTCTTCTCTAAAAAACTAAATCTCTGTTGATGTGGAAAACAATATGTCTTCCGTTGAGGAGAAAATAAAAAAGAACTGGAACATACAGAACCGGCCGGTGAAATAAAGTGCCATGAAGTGGAGTCGAAGTTGAAATTGGAAGGAGCTGTTAACTCTCCTCGTGTTAAAATCCCAACTTTCGACGGAAAGATGTCATGGACCAACTACCTTAAACAGTTCGAAACAGCTGCGAGAGCGAACGAATAGTCTGAAAGGGAAAAGGCAGAAAATTTGACCATCGCCCTTCGAGGATACGCTATAGATGTCCTAGAAGAGACATACGATTTTGAACAACTCAAAAAGAGACTAAACATGCGATATGGCCACGAACATTTGGAGCATTTATACCAATCACAGTTAAAGAATCGCAAATAGAAACAAGACGAGAATATGAAGTTGATATTGCCAGGTTGGTTCGATTTTCCTACCCATCAGCTCCGGAAAACAGGATGGAATGTTCGGTAGTCCAAATATTTGTTGATTGACTCCGTGAGCACGAGATGCAGAAAACACTCCGCTTACCTCGTAACAAAACATTGGTCGTTGTCTTGTCCGCTGCTTTAGCGTATGAGGCAGCTACGCATGCTTCTGGTGGATACAGTAAAGTGAGGACTATAAAAGAGGAAGAAGGGGAAGATAAACTCGACCAATTGGTTAACATGATGAAGAGCCTTACTGATAAAAATATGAAGACGAAGAAGGTGCTGGAATTGCGGTGAACTGGGACATGTACGCAATTCGTGCAAACGCCCTAGGGTCCCAACAAATGAAGACAACACGCCGCAGGAAAACTGTTCCAAAGACCCTCTCATACTGATAGCCTCTTTGAAATGTCGCGATGATAGTGTATACGTAGACGGCGAAATAAATGGTAAAAAGTATACACTGTTGGTGGATACTGGAGCAACTAGGACCATTATACGATCAATAACCATAAATAACCGTAAGATACTTTTACCAACAATATTGCGACTGCGGACTGCCTCAGGTGAAAGCGCCAACATCTATGGGGTAATCCAGGCTTAACTGGGAATTGGTTCAGAAAAGTTCACTCATACTGTTATTGTCCCTGATATCGAATATGTTTTTCTTGGAATGGATGTAATGAACTTACATGGTTTCCAGTTAGACTTTAAGAACAGAGTGATCAAAGTTGGTGCCGAAGAGGTATACATCCATATGGGGACAGTACCGTGCCAGTTGTTGTACAGGAGGATACGGTGGTAATTGACAGAAATTAAATCATTATAGTAGCACGGCTTCAAGAAACTATGGAAGAAAGAACACCTATAATGATGGAACCTTGGAACCACGATAAAGAGGTTGGGCGAGGAATTTTGATCGGAAAGGGGTTGGTCACGACTGCTAAAGAGATTCCATTCCGTCTTATAAACGAAAGAGACCAGAATCGGAACTTGTGTACCAGTAACTTCCAAAATTCGTCAGACAACAACTTCTGATAATTCCAACGACAAATTCGAGCAAGTGATTGCAGTTGCTGGTCAATCTCTAAATCAATTAGAGAAAAAAAAAATAAGGGAATTTCTTCGACGATATCGTGACAGTTTTGCACCAGGAAGGAGGAAAAACAAGAACAACTTCTGTTGTAAAACACAAAATTGATACTGGTGCCGCCGGTCCGATTCGTCAATCAGCTCGAAGCTTACCAAAGGCCAAGAGAGGGGAAGCTGAAAGGATTGTTCAGGAAATGAAGGAAGACAGGGTGATAGAACCTTCTACCAGCTCATGGGTCTCTCCGGTAGTCCTGGTCCAGAAAAAGGATGGAACTAGGAGGTTATGTGTGGATTACCGTCAGTTGAACAGTGCTACAAGACAGTTACCATCTGCCTTGAATCGACGATACCTTTGACACTTTGGCCAGAAGTAAAATATTCTCTACCTTAGACTTGAAGTCTGGATAGTGGCAAGTGAAAATGGACCCAGTAGATAAAGAAACGACAGCTTTTACAATCGGATCTGGATTTTGGCATTTCAGTGTCATGCCTTTTGGACTATTAATGCCCCCGCGACATTTAAAAGATATGGAAAATTTATTGAGTGGGTTATCTTGGAAAACATGCCTGGTGTATTTAGACGACATCATAGTCTTGTGGAAGACATTTGATGAATATCTAAAAAACGTAGATGTTTTTAAAAAATAAGAAGTTTTCTTGGGCTCTGTAAGTAATATCGAAGATTTATCTGGAATTTCACAGAAGAATCGAGATAATTCTGCTGGGATGAAGACTGCGAAACTGCATTTGAAACACTGAAGAAGCATTTAACAACAGCGCCAATACTGGGCTACCCACTACCAGAGGGAGAATTTATTCAGGATATTGGTGGCAGTAATGTAGGGATTGGAGAAATGCTTTCACAGATTCAAGGGTAAAAGATAGAGAACTGGGTTATTTTGGTAAGGTGCTCTCGAAACCTGTGTGAAATTACTGCGTCACGAGAAGAAAACTTCTGGCAGTTGTAAAATGCGTGGAACACTTCTACCAATACCTATATAGAAGGAAATTCTTAATCCGTACCGATCATGCAGCCCTTAATTAGTTGATGCAGGTCAAAAACTCAGAAGGACAAATCGCCAGATGAATTGAACGACTTCAAGAGTACGACTTTAAGATCGAACATAGGGCCGGAATAAGCCACAGAAATGCCGATTTTCTTTCTAGAAGACCGTGTCTAGCAGAGTGCTCTCATTGCAATAGGGCAGAATCCAAAGAAAGTGGACTACTAAGAACAACTGTAGTCAACAATGAGTGGGACCCTGCCAAACTTAGTAGGGAAGAACAAGAGAACGATCCCATTTTAAAGAAGATGAGACAACGGAAAAGGGAAAATCGTCGACCTACTTGGCAAGAAGTATCGAAACTCTCTCCAGTAGTTAAATCATATTGGGTTCAGTGGGACTCATTTATCCTGGAGGAAGGTTTATTAAAGCGAGTACTAGAGAATGACGATGATTCCGAAAACAGAAAACAGCTGGTCATTCTAAAGACTAGAGTAACCGAAGTACTTCGTCAGTTACACGACAGTCCATCAGAAGGACATCTTGGTGTTAAGAAAACCCTTCAGAGAGTTCGTGAAAGGTTTTATTGGATCAACAGTTCCGATAATGTAAAAGACTGGTGTAAGAAATGTACCACCTGTGCTACGAGTAACGGACCCCAACGAAAAAGGAAGGCCCCCATGAAGCAGAACAACGTCGGTAGCCCATTCGAGAGGATAGCCTTAGATATTATTGGACCATTCCCCATGACCGAGAATGGTAATAAATACATGATAGCGGTCATGGATTATTTCACGAAGTGTGTGGAAGCCTTGCCATTCCAAATCAAGAGGCCGCAACTGTTGCAGACTTGTTAATAAAAGAATTCATCAGTAAAT